CGGAGAACGCACGTGCCGGGATCTTGCAAAAGACCAGCGGGGGTGGGATGGGGTGGGGTCACAGCCGGGATCCCGTCTCAGAGGGAGTCCCGCAGGGGAGGGACTGCAGTGGGAGAAGGTGGGGTCACACACCCCTGGCTCTGAATTTACTTTATGCGGCAGAAGGACGGGTTCTCTTTTCTGTGGGGAGTTGAGTGCATTTGGGAGGCATGGTACCCCGAGTGCGTGGGACGCAGGAATGTTAACAATGGAGACTGATGGTCTTTCCTCCCTGGTTCTGGGATCCGCAGCGAATCAAGGTTTATTTTGGGTTTTCCTCCAGTTTCCGCTAGAGTACTGTTGGACAGTTGAATCTTAGGAAGGAGGTATTAGGACTTGAGTCCGCTGGCTAGTATGCCTAAGGACTTAAGTACCCGGGAGAGCAAGGGCTTTGAGGGTGCAGAATGCAGACCCGGGCTTAACAACTCTGGGCCGCTAGCTGGCCCAGGAGGAAACCCCGTGCTTCTTTGTTCCGGGCTGGAGTACTTTTTTTTTTTTTTTTTTTTTTCCCCTACATATCCTCAGAGCTGACAGAAACTTTGTGAGGACTTTATGTAAGGCAAGAAATGCAGCCAGGCTCGCTTGCGGCAGGCTTTGAGAGTCAGTTTCCAAGTTAAGAAGACTTGGCCACTCTGATGCATGGGGCAGGGTTTCAGCCTTTGTCTGGGAGGAGGAAGTTCAAGTCTACAAGATGGAATTAAGAAACCCTTGTTTGGACTTAGACTTCATTTCAAAAGCGTGTTTCAGAGGCGCACAGTGGAGCCATAGGGAAGTTAATGATTTTAGAAACTCGAGAGTGGCTTTCACAGATGACTGAGGGTGGAAGACACTGGACCCTCGAGAGTAGTGAGGGCTGGTTAGATTCCTCATTCCAGGACCCAGGTGTGAACTCAGGCTGGCAAGTGGGTGGGCCATTGCCCGGCTGGCTTGGCTTTTGGAGCTGGTGGGAGGGGAGAGGGGCAGGGGTAGGGATTACCTGTTCCCTCCAACTGTAGATGGGCTCCCTGAGAGTTTATAGTCTTGCTGACTGCCTCCAGAGGGCAGTTCTCTGCAAGAGTTCTACTGAGGGGCTCAGGCACACCAGGTAGACAAGAGGGAGCACAGACTGGGAGGTAGTTCTGGTTTGTGAGCAAGGGAGTAAATGATACAGGGTCCCTCGTGCAGAGAGCCATTGGGAATAGTGGGGAGTGGAGGTGGGAAATGGGAAGCCTTCCCTTTGGTGTTGAGGTTAGTCCCTGGGGGCCTCAGAGCCCCAAGGATGGGGCAAATACTAGATGACCTCTCAAGTTTAAGGAGAGGTGTTAGGCTGGCTGGCAGGGAGGAAGGAGAATGGGGTAGAGTGGAGGGGCCTTTCCAGGATTTCGTGTCTGCTCTGTCCAGCCACCAGCTGGATGAGGAACTGGATCCAGACCCTGGTCCTACCACATGTGGCTTTTTTTCTCCATCAGTGGACAGGGGTGTTCCCATGAGACTCTTGGCCCATACCTCTGAACTTGGAGAAGGGGATTGGGATACTAGCATCAGGGCAGCAGGGCTCTACTGGAGCTGGAGGCTGGGAGTCAAGGCAGTCGGAACCCTAGAGCTGTGGAGTATCCAGCTGCAGACTGGGTCACTGTTGGGTCAAGAACACTTTCCCTGGGAGGTGAGTTGTGTTATTGTGCAGGCTGTGGCTTCTGCTCATGAGAATCTGGGACAAGGTCAGGCTGTGTCCGCTGCCCTCCCAGGAAGGTCTTGGGCTCTTGTGGGTGCTTCATTCTTTGGGAACTGGTAGCTGCTGCTGTGCTTCTGGGTGGAGGCATCCAGCACTAAGAAGCTGGGTTCTCTGAGGACAAATATAGGGGTGTCTGATCCTTAAAGTAGTAACTGCTCTTCCGTCTTCCCAGGCAGGCCACTTGTGTCCTGGCTGGGAGGAACAGGCTATTATGCACACCTGGAATCCCTGCAGGCTGTTCACAGTGCCCTCAGCTGCTAGCCCCTGGCTCCAAGGCTGGTTCCTTCCATTACAAAAGCAGGCATGCAGGATGTGGGGGTCCCTCTCCCAAGCAGGGGTGGGAGGTAAGTATAGTGGGCAGCACAGGAAGGGGTGGCCAGTTTTGCCTTGGTTTAGGGATAGTGTATGTGCTCCTGGAGTTGGGACAGAGATGTAAAGATTAGAGTCTGCCCCTGCCTAGCGTGTTAGGGTTTAGAGATAGGACACATCTCATGTGACCAAGCTTTCTCCCTTCCAGATGTAGCCTGCCAGGCCCTGTCCCTTCCCTCCCTAGTGGCTCGGCAGGAATTTGTCCAAGTCACACGTCTGTGATTCCCTCTGAGTGAGACTTGGCATAAGAGGCCGGTGTCACTTGTCACTTTGCCATTCTGTCTGAGTCGCAGTTAAATAGCCTGACTCCATCTTCCCTTTATAGACATTTGCAGGAAGATTCTCTCATCCCCAGTGGAGGAACCAGGCCCCTGCTGGGCTTCTTCCAGCTCTCCTCAAGGCTTTCCTGACCCACCTGCAGCAAGCAGTAAATCTACGAAGGTCCTGGGTCTCTGAGGCAGGCACCTTTCCACTGCAAGGGCTATGGGTTGTCCCTAGATGCAGGGCAGGTGAGCTGATGAGTGGTAGCACAGGTCACAGCTGGGATGTGCATGCACAGGGTGAGTGGCGTGGCTGTCAGTGCCAAGCCTGCCAGGCACAGGCTCAGGCTCCTCATGAGTGTTGGCTGGCTTGATCAGAGAGGCAGGAAGAAACCCAGGGGAGGGTGGAGTCTGAATGCAGCACTGTCATTGACTGGGCATTGTCATCCGGGCTGCTGAAATGAAATTCCTGTGGGTTGAGGTGGGTTTGGGTGCTATAGAGAACATGAGGTGGCAGCTTTGGGTTTCTATTGATGGGTGGCAGAAGGGCTGCTCTGCCCCATCTGTGATTGAGGAAGGAGGTGATGGAGCTGGCCGTGCCTGACAGGGTGGAGGCTGGTGTCCTGGCTGTGAGCAGGACAAGGCATGCTATCTGAGGGAGGCCCACTTTGTCTCCCAGTCCTGTCTGGGCCCTGCCAGCTCTGGTAGTGTGGGACAGTACAAATCTGAGTCTTGGGAGCCCAAGGGCACATAGGACTCTCTTTTCCCCACTGTGAACACTTGAGGCTATGCCTGACGGTTGGGCTTTTGAGACTTGTGCCCAGGTGGCAGGATATTTTCGGGGGAGATCCTGGTGAACTGCCCACGTCAGGGTGGTGCTCTCTGCCATGCAGTGATGCTTTTTGGAGACCAACCGTTGACTACTGGCTCTGTTGTGAACTCTCACTTCTGTCAGTACCTGGTGGAGGAACCCTTGCATCCCTTTCCTGGGGATGTTGTCTTTCCAGTTCTAGGAATGTTGCAAGTGGCTCGCAGGGCTGGATGGTGCCTCCGGGCTCCTGGTCTTGGGAGTAATATTTAAACTTCCTTCCGGAGGGCTGGGGCCAGACCCTGGGAGCCTGGCTGCCGTTGGATCCCTGCCACATTCCCACAGCTGTATGGCCTCAGGTGCAGCTCCACCTCATCCACCTGTCAGATGGGGCCAGGTTGTACCTATGGAGTGGAGTGCTGTAAGGACACAGGAGGGATCAGGATAGCCCTTTCTGGCTAGGCACTTGGCACATCCAGGATTGCATGTCTTCTACAGCTCAGAGCTCCCTCTCCCCTTGCTCTGTCCACTTCCCTCCTGTTACCACTCTATCTGGCAGATGTCAGGGTTGAGTGGCTGTATGTTTGCAGAGGCTCCAGTTAGGGGTTAAAGAAGTAAAGGCTTTCAGAGTTCTTTTCCTAATTCCCTGTGCTGTTTCCTCCCCTTGCTTTGTGACTGGTTAAGGGTTGGGGAGGGACCATCCAGGTGCTGCCAAGAGGCCTGGCTTTGGGTTCTGAGCCAATTGAAAGAGTTGAAACTTGTCCTGGTAGAGCTTTTTGGAGGTTGTAGAGGAAGAGAAGGGACAGGCAAGCTGGAAAGTGGCAGCTGTTCTCAGGCAGGGGCTTCACTTAGTGCTATGCCACCTCAGTAGTCTGTAGCATTTTGCTGAATATAGGTTGGCTTCTTGTGTTTCTGGAGTCAGATGTTGGCTTTTAGAACTGAAACTTTTGTCAATGTTCCCTTTGGGATCTGGGGCAGAACTGAAGTTAGAATGTTAGTGTTTTTTACAGCAGGACATGAATCTTCATGTTAAGTGGATATATTGAGACTATAAATAGGCTGGGCAGTGGTGCACACCTTTAATCCCAGCACTTGGGAGGCAGAGGCAGGTGGATCTCTGTAAGTTCGAGGCCAGCCTGGTCTACAGAGAGAGTCAGAGCTATGTAGAGAGCCTGTCTCAAAAAACAAGCAAACGACAAAACAAAGAGACTATAAATCACCTCATACGTTCAGGTCATGCTGCATCCAGGTTGGGCTTGCTCCAAATTTAGGAAAAATTGTGCTTCCAGAGCTTGGGCATTTGGAATTGATCTTGGGTCACGTGTTCCCTAGCTTACAGGTGAAGATACAGGACTGGAGGAGGTCTCTCTTCCCCATCCCTCTAGTCCATTGAAGCTTGTTTAGAACTTGGGTTCAAGTTGTTTTTGTGGGATGAGGATATGTGGGTCTCCAGTTATAGACTCATGGTTGCTGGCAATATCCAGCCCTCCTTAGGTGACATTCCCACATAGTGTGATTGAAAGAGCACCCTCACTTTTCCCTGAGGCATAGCTGAGCATCCCAGAGCATGTTGAGGAGAAGGCTCCTTAGGAAGCATGAAGTTCTCAGTACCACGTCTGGCACTTGTGACTGGAGTCAGCAGAGGGTGGCATTGCTTCCCAGCTCTGAGCCTCTGACAGAGAAAGTGTGGGGCTTGCAGGGACCCGAGGTATGTGAAGATTAATGTTTTAATTTGAGTTGTCCCAGTGCCTGGAGGCCCAATGAGTTGGCTGTGGCTCTCTGTTGCTCTCGAAGTTATGAGCATGCCTAAAGGGTTCAGAAGATAAGGGGCCTTGAGCCAAGACACTGGGCCTGGCTACTTCTGGTAATTGTGTATCAGGCAGTGCTCAGAGGAGTGACCTGCCATCCTAGGCTCCTACTTCTACAGCCGAGATGGTCTGCATGAAGCATTAAGAGGAAGGGACAGCAGGGATAGGGTATGCTGCTACTCCAGAAGGCTTACTCCAAAATACAGCAACAACCTACAAGCTGGGATACTCATGTGGATGAGATGGAGGGCAACATGGAGAGAGAGCCCATCCCAACCCCTTATACCATGGCATAATCTTACAGTGCCCAGCCACTGTCACCTTCTGGGCCTGCCCCTCCTTGGGAGTATTTGGCAGGTGCTCCTGTCTCTCTTCTTGGGTATTGAAGGTCTTGAGGCCCCTGGTTTCTTTCAAAGCTCCTGGTGACTCTATCAGAAAGCAGTATTTGCTTCCTGTGATCCAGTGCTCTTTTGTGGGACATAATCTTTCTTCTTTCCCTTCCTAACCTTTTGAAACAAGGTGTCATGTAGCCTAGGCTGGCCTCTAACATGCTGTGTAATTGAGGATGACCTTGGACTTCTGATCCTCCTGCCTTTACCTCCTGAGAGCTAGGATTACAGGTATACACCACTATACCCAATTTTTCATGGTATATCTTCCAACTGGAATATGCAGACCAGTGTTTCTTGGAATTTTACCAAGAGATTGGACAGTTTGTGAAGGTGCTAAGAGCAGGATGAAACCCAGATGGAAATGCCCTTAATGGATTAGGACCATATGGCCTACTGCCAGCCACTCTAGACATTTCTAGGTCCAGGGCCCTGCCCTCCTGTGCCTGGGGACAGCTGTTGTCTGAGGGCAGCTGCAACCTCAGGTAGTTTTCAGCTGAGGTTTTTTTCTTTTTCAAGCAGTTTCATCACTGGTTAGAGGGGGCCCTGCAGCTGGGGGAGGAGTCCTGCCCAGTCTGTGGGTAGGTTAAGAAAGTGTGGTGACCTTGTGGTAGTTAGAAAGGGACACTTTTGAAACGGACACTTTTGTAAGACTCATATGAGAGATAGGCCTTGGTGGCACTTATCTGTAATCCCAGAATATGTGAGGTAGAGGCAGGAGGGGTCAGAAGTTCAAGGTTATCCTTAGTTAAATAGGGAGTTTCAGAGATGTAGGGGAACCTGTAGCCAGCCCCTAAGCAGGCGTGGCTACAGGTTCCCCTACACAGAGACTCTGTTTTAATGTCCCCACACCCAATCACACAAACAGTAGCTTTGCTGACACAAATGCAGACAGGCATCTTGATTCATGCTGCCTTAGAATAGGGTCTGGTTTCCCCGTGGCCTGGCCTAGTCCACCAGCAGCAGTGTTACTAGCTCATAGGTGTTGGAAGCTCCCACAAGTGGGAGTAAGGTTGTTTCCCAAACCTGCCTGTCCTTACCTGTAGAGCTTGTCAGGGTTCAGGAACTGTGCAAAGTGCTCTGGGGCTTACTGTCTGCCGTGGGTTTCTTTCTGGCTGGCATGGAGTTTGCCTTGTCTTCTAAGCAGTTGAAAACCAGATTCCCAGGGTTTATTTGTCATGGCCCTAGGAAGTCCCAGAGCTGGAACCCTGCCCGCTATGCCTGGTGAAGCCCTTAATTTTGGCTCTCACCTGTTTGGTCTTTTGTATAAGCTGTCACTTTCCTGCTCTCTCCATGTGGTCTAAAGGATAGTTTGCAATATCTAAGAGCATGGGTAGGCATAAGAGGATGATGGGAGGGACCCCTCAGGCAAGCCTCTCTACCCCCTCACCCCTACCAGGAAATACAAAGGAAAGCCTACCCAGTGGGAACGGAGTAGGCAGGCTTAGCCAGGCAGCTTGTTGTCACTGTGATATACCAGATGAGCCCTCTGTCCTTTACACAGTAGCTCAGATGTCACCCAGACAGTGTCCCTTTAGCAGCCCCCTCTTCAGGGGCGCTCAGTTCCTTCTATGTGCACAGTTCCAGCAGCGTGCACTGCTTATGGGCTTGTCCCTGGAGCCCTGGACAGGGGTCCCTGTTGGGAGAAGCTTGTGGGAGTCTGTTTGGTAGAAGTGAGGCTAGAACTTCCCAGAGGAGCTTTTGGAGCTTTGCTTCCCACCTGTGGGACTTGAGATCTTGATCTACCCGTGTTGACAAAGACCTGAGGCTAATCTGGGTCACACAGGGAGAAAAGATCACCCACGACTGAGATGACATTAGGTTATTGGACCTGTTTTCATGCTTGATACAGACTTTTCATCATGTCCCTTTGTCTTTCTGTTCCAAATTATGCATGTTACAAAAGTAGACTTGCCCTTTTTTTCCCCAAAAGTATTTTGTGTGCATTGGTGTTTGGTGTTTTACCTGCATGTCTGTGTGAGGGTGTCTGTTCCCCTGGTACTGCAGTTACAGACAGTTGTTTACTGCCATGTGGGTACTGGGACTTGAGCTCAGGTTCTCTGGAGGAAGAGCCATCTTGCCAGCCCCCTAGACTTACAGCTGACTTGAGTCTTAACTTCACACCAAGCAATTGATCACCTTTAAAACACTTTTCCTTAGAGGCAGAAAAGAAACCTAAAACATTTCAGCACTGGAAAAACCCCCTGTGGCTCTGGGGACAGAGCACATGGCTATTCGGGACGCTCTGCTTCTGTTCCCAGAACAGCACTCTAGGAGTGTCATTTCTGGGGTGACTTGTTTTCCAGAGGTGTAGGAATTTTTATAGGATCATTTGCTTCACTCTTTTTTCTGTTGTGAATGAAGGCAGAAGTCAGAGGACAACTTCATGGAGTTGGTTCTCTCCTTCCACTCTGTGGGTTCTGGGGATTGAGGTCATCAGGTTTTTGAAGCAAGCGCCATCTACCAGCCCCAGCTCAACTCCTTTTTGTAAGACCAGGACCAATGGAAAGTTCTTGCCTTTATTTGTGTTAGGTGATACCTTTTAGCTGTGTTCTTTGAATTTGCCCAGGGTGCCCTCAGTGGCAGTTCACACTGGCTTCAGCCAGTTCAGTGTAGCCCAACCCTGGGCTGTTGCTGGTTTGTGTGCTGGTGCATGCCTCCGTGCCTGTTCCTTCAAGTCAGGCAGGAGTCCTATGTAGATGTGTGTGAGGGGGTGACTCACAGTAGGTGAGCTGATGTCCCATGGGTTGTCAGGCTTGGGGGTCCTAACTTGGCTGCCTCTCTCTGCAGGGTTGGTGTCCTGGAGTACTGCTTCACCTGCCTGGGCATCTTCTTGGCCATCGTCCTGTTTCCTTTTGGGTTCATCTGCTGCTTTGCATTGAGGAAGCGAAGATGCCCCAACTGTGGAGCAGTCTTTAGTTAAAGGGAACAACACCCGGTTTTCCTACATTCAGCTATCTTTTCTAATGTAAATGTTGTGTACAATAGTTTTCTTTGATTAAGCTTCAGGACTGTTTTGTAAAGTGTGGTGGGGATAGACTTGGCATTTGTGGGCTGACTCGCAGAGGTGGAAGGCAGCGAACTGCTCCCAAGGTTAAGGAGAATTCAAGAAAGCACTGCTTCTATTTTTTGCAGTCTTCAATTTGGGAATGGTGAGAAATACTGTTTTAAATAAATGAGATTCATACCATTGTGTAGCTTGTTCTGCTTGCCCAATGTTTTTACACACTGCGCCTCTGAAGTCTTGTCATGGGAAATGTCACATGTGCAAAGGCCATCTTCTAGTCCTTAGGTATCACTTAGGGCTCAGAACCTGTGTTTCAGATGCTCCTTTATTATCAACACGAAACAAATGGTAATAACCTTGGTGTTGGCAGAGCTGGGGCATGAGTCAAGGTAAGTGACCCTGTGAGGGAGCGCACACCACACCACAGACATCTCTGCATGTGAGTTCTCAGCACCACTCTCCTCCTCCACACATTGTTCTCGGTGAAAACACAGGGCTTCCCACCTTGACCTGCACTTATGTGTTGATAACAGGGACTGTGTTTGAAATGTGGCTCTTTCCCCATCAGGGCAGGATACCTGCCTAACATAGGGTGATAAAACAGGGCATGACACTGACTTTGTAATCTATGGAGGGTGTTGGCATGGGCAGGCCTGTACCAATTGCCCTTCATGGGGCCAGCAGGTTTTTCCTCCCATGTGAGCCTGGCACTGCTTGGCCCAGCTGGAAAGACTGAAGTTTCATGTACACAAACCCTGACCATTTTTCAGCTTAGGAAAAATGATTTCTCTGAGATTCAAGGAGCTGTGATAAGTAGCAAGTTTTATCAGTAGTGACTTGCCTGGATGAGGATTTTAATTATTCGTCATCCCAGAATAGGTCTAAATTTTGGGCAGGAAGGGACAGACTCTGATTCCTGGCTCAAGTCTCTGTGGCCTGAGCTGTTGCTTGTTTCAGCCAGAAGTCTTGAGTGTGGGACAGTGTTAGGCTGGAGTAATGCTCTGCCCACCATTTACAGGACAGTACCTCATTTAAAAATGGAGAAACTTGAACCTCAGATGTCACCAAGCTTTAGAGATGTACATGGACCCCTGCTGGTAACTTTGTAACACTGAACTCAGTAGCTCCTGGAGATATTTTACAAGTGCTATGAGGCTGGCAAACTATGTCTGTTGAGGTCGGAGTTATCCATCTTTGAGAGTGCCACATTAGTTAAAAAGGTTAAAATTGGGTCACTGAAAAAATTATATTTAATATAGTTTTCATAATTTATATTGCTTACTGTATAGGCATGCTCTGATGCAAACTTACATATTTTCTTTAGATGAGCATCATAATGCTTCTTAAGAGCACAGGCTTTATAAAATAAAAACTCTGGTCTTTTTGCATTCAGCTACAGGAAGCCAGGCACAAAAGCATAGATAAGACTTATCCCTTATTCTGGCTATTTCCTTAAAAAATTAAAAGAACTTGAACCCAATTTACTGCTTTTTGAATAGAAAAAATATTTCAAATGATTGATCTATTCACTAAGCTATTCATTTACCTTAAAGATAAAAATGTGTAAACCCAGCTCTGTTAAACTGAGAAAATAAATTGATTTGCTCAAGTGGGGTTCATTGAAATCAGGCATCCTCTGAAATTTCGATAGTGCCTGCACCCGTCCAGCAACATCGTCTTGCAGGTAAGACCTCAGGTAGAGGGACTAGCAGGATCCTTTCCACCTTCATCGAATGATTGGTGCTGATCGGTCATTTGTCACTGTTGGCCGGAGTTTCACAGTAGCAAAGGGGTTTTCTCCACTATAGGGGAGAACAGAAGAAAAAGTTGAACTACTGCTCCAGGACAGGAATTAGATGTTGTGTATGTATATGGGAGTGAATGCATGCAAGCGTGTGCTTGTCCACATGTGCAGGCCAAGTGTCATTGTTAGGTGTTTTCTGCCACATCCCACCTTATTTTGAGGCCGGAATTCAATGTTTCTATGGGCTGGCTGGCCATTGAGTGCCCAGAATCTGTCTTCGTCTATGGTGTCAGCAGTTACGGATGCATACTATGAGGTCCTGCTTTTTTTTGTGGGTGTTGGGGATTTGAACTCAGGTCCTTTTTATGCTTGTGCAGCAAGGATTTTACTCATTGAGCCATCTTCCCACTGCATTCAAATCCTGGACTGCTGTTCTGAACACACAGGTATCTGGCAGTTTACTATGCTGAGTTAGGGAGCAGGTCACACAAGAGGCTGCTTTAATCTGATGGAAGGAGCCCTGTGGGACAGGCCACCCTGTCATGGGTTAGAGTTGAACCATACTGCTCTCTCACTCTACATCCTACCCCTGGACTGTCTAAAGCTGGTGATGGTCGGGCCTCTGGAGGGTACAGCTGGCCACTTCCTTAGCAAAGCAGGCACCATTACACTGACTTTGTGCCCTGGGGTATACATACCTGAGGAATGGTGGCTTTGCAGTCCCGTTTGCATTACTCTGGAAAAGACAAAGATTATGGAAGGCTTAAAATTAGGACATTTTTATGAGACCCACAGGTAAACACATGTAAAGTTAAGCTGAAAGCCACCAGTGGAGCTGGAGACAGTTCAATGAATGATGCTGTTCTTGTAGAGGACCCGAGGTCAGTTCCCAGTCCCTATGTAAGCTCACACGTACCTGTAACTCCAGCTCCAGGGACCTAACTACTAGAACCTGCACTCACACAGACATGCTTACACACATACAGACTCTTTAAAGCTATTCATGTTTAAAAGCATCCCTTGATGTCACATTGAGACTGCTTTATGTCTAAATTATTTCAAAAGAATAAGCGGAGAATGCTTTAGACCTTTGAGGACCCTCTGTGTGTCAGAAGGTGGAGTCAAGAGGTGTCCTGAAGTGTGGCAGCAGAGCTCATGCAGATCAGCACAGAACATCCTCAATACTCACAGAAACTCAGATCTTACCAAGTTAAACCAAGCAACAGAGCCATGGCTTGGAAGGAAAACAGGTATGTTTCAGACCCAAACTATAGTGATATAGTGACTGTGGTCCATGCGTCCCCTGGTGCCCCTTCCACTGTGCCTTTGTTTTTGAACTAATAGTAACTCTGTTTGGGAGCCTGACGCTAACTCCTAGAACCAGCCATCTGGTGACCCTGGGTGGCTTGGTGGAACACTTAACCTAGCTTGTAGGTGGTTTAGGTTCAATCCCAGGGAAGGAGTGGGGGATTCTAAATTGAGGATCTGTCCAAATCTTGTGGGTGTGTGGCAGGTCACAGGTACCACCTCCCTCCAACACACCTCTAGACTGTTGGCTGGGGGACTGGTATGTCTGTACTTCCTCTCCAGAATCCTAAAAATCTTGCAGTCTCAGTCTTTCCTGTTGCTTCTCTAAGAGAGCCCTGGCAGAGCATCATCCAGTAGAGGGCAGTGGAGTATCGTCTTAAGCACCAGAGCTGTTTCAAGTGTCTTGAAAGCCTCTGAGGCGTCCCAGCAGTCTTGGGCACATGTATATTCAAAGCAAACAACTCACTTTCTAGTGTGAGTTCTGAAGCTAAAGTCCCAGGCCAGGACTCCTATAGTGCAGCATCTCTTGAATACTGCACAGAAATACCATCTCAACCAGAGGCAGGCTGCAGGCACGTGGGCTGTGACCTCAGCTCCTGGGCTCCCCAGGGGTCAGCACAGTCATCTAGTACAGAAGTCAGTGTATACTCATCACAAGCACAAAGTGACTGCCTGGCTTGGCACATCTTAATCAGGCTGAAGTGTTATAAAAGTGATTTCTTCCTGCAGGGCACTCAGCTTCCTTAGTGGGCCTCTGGACAAGTCACTTCTGATGTAGCTTCTTAGGATAGGGATGATTAAGAGCCGATTCATGATTTCTTTTTAAAGAACATCAGGAGGTCTGACCTGCCGATTGCCTGCTCAGATTGCTGGCATGATTGGACTGCCTAGAGCAGCAAGCCAGGCAACAGCCGAGTCTGGAAGGAGCCTCGTGGCGCCCAACAGTCAGACCAGAAGAGCAGCCTTGCAGCCCCAGGCTGCTTCACTTTCCCATTGGAATCCACTTCTGTTTTCCCCTGGACAAAACACTGGCCTATCCCATGTGGACAGCATCATGTCCTCAACTGGAAACCAGAAAGCTCCTGCTGTCATCCCTCCTAAAGCCACCAGTTCAGTGGCATCTTAAGGCGCTGGGATGCCTTAAGGCACTCAGCACACACAGTCAGAGAAACAAGCACAGCAAATACTTGAAGGTGAAAGTAAAGTGTGTCCATGTGGCCACCAACATCAACGGACTCTGGACAGGCCTCTTGTAGCCCCAAGTAGAAACGCCCAAAAGCAGAATAGCACTTAGATCCATTTTGTCCCTGTGAGACCTCCTTGCCAGGACTTGGGGACTCTGACCTTGGAGGAGAAACAGTAACCATGTGGGACATGCATAAGGGAGCTAACAATGTTGCTTCTTGATCTGTTGCTGATTCAACAATTGCTTCAAGAAAATTTTAAGACCAGATGTGGCATCCAACACCCCATATGCCCAACTCTTGGAAAGCTAAGACAGCGGAGTCTGAAGCCACCATGGGCCACATAGTGAGACCATATCCCAATTCCCCCATCCACTCCCAAAAAAGATTTAAGGATATAGTTCAGTCGGTAGAGTATTTGTCTAGCATGCTCTAGGGCCTGGGTTCCATTACCAGAACTGTATAAACGGGCCATGGTGGCACCAAGTTGTAATCTCAGAGATGGGGGGATGGAGGTAAGAGGACTAGAAATTCAAGATCATTCTTGGCTACACAGAAAGTTTTAGGCTAGTGTGGGCTATATAACCCTGTTTCTTAAAAATGAAAAAATTGTATACTCTGTTATTCTTGTGTGTTCATGCACACATGTGTCATCCTTTAGTCAAGTGTTTACCTGAAAACCAAGCAAAGGCAATTCCTTGACCTGAGGTGGTCCCGTGTGACTGCTTTCAGTGATGTGAAAGTGACACATTCAATAGAAAACTACAGTGAGTTTGGGTTGTAGTCTTCCTGGGTTGGGGATGCATGATACAGTCCTTTCCTGTAGGTTGCTAGAGGGAGTGCTGAGCACAGCCTCAGACACTCTGTAGTATGCTGCCTCACTAAGCTAGGATGTGCCATAGGTTAGGTGATGAGGTGTGACATACCACCACAGCAAAAATCCAGGAACACAGGGAGTTTTCTGGGAGCTTCTCCCAAACCAAAACTGGCTATTGCACTTGCTGCTTAGTTATCCTCTTTGAAGCAGCACTATTCTGTTGCAAGGGCCATTTGCTTCTCCTGTCTAATGGAAGTACAGTGTCAGTGGAAGATTGGCAGTTCTCTCTAGTTTGCATAGGATCTTGAAATATTTCAAGAGGTATCTGTTCTTTCTGTGAATGGTAAAAGCGCAATATAAATCCATCATCTAACCTTACCCTGTAATTGTGAATCCCTTTGCATTTATGTAGTGGTCACTGTTCATCTTCTCTGTTTTAAGGTAAGAACATCTTTGGTGGGATTGGGGAATAGGAGACTCTCAAGTATTTCCATCTAATTGCCTTTTTAAGAAAACAATTTTTGAGACAGGGTCACATGTAGCCCAGGCTGGCCATAACCTTGAACTCCTTATCCTCTGCCTCCACCTCCTCTGAGTGCTGGGATTACAGTTGTGCACCACAGTGCTGGGGATGGAACCCACAGCTTTATTTAGGCTAAGCAAGAACTCTAACAACTGAGCTACATCCCCATTATGTTCTGGTGACTTTTGACTAGCTGGTATTTTCCATTATCCTCTGGATCAGAAAGGCAATCCTGCATCATATCACATCCTTGGTAAACAGCAGAGAAGGCAGTGGAATGTGTCTTATCAGTCAGAGCTCCCAGCTCTCTTCCCCTCCTTGTGCTGATAAACATTGCTAGAGACTTTTCAGTAAATTCGTCAATTCACTGCAGACCTAGGAAGTGGCTGCCATTCTTTTGTGCACCCCTTTTTTCTCCATTTCCCATGGTCCTGTTACCCATTTCACCCTTGTATCCAGCTCACAGCAGGGTCCAGGAGCAGTGGCTCAATTGGTTGTAGCAGGAGAAAGCTATGATTCCACCATGTGTGGGTGTCAGGAAGTAAAAATATCTGTCATCCATCCATGTATCTATCTATCTACATTTATTTAAATCTGTATCAAAATAAATATGATTGAATGTTAATCATATCCTAGAAATAGAAGCATAATTGCTTTTTGTGTGTGTGTCAGTGTGGTGCTACTACCCAAGTCCTCCACCACAAAGCTATACTCCTAGCCCAAAGTGTACCTTAGATAAGGATATAGTTACTAGGCATTTTAGATTTTACAAAGGGACTGGGACAAAACCTAAACAGACTCTGATCTTTAACAGAAACTTGTAGCCATGACTGCTCTGTGGACTTTAGTGTGAGCCCAGCCCTAAAAAAGGTTTTATACCATCCCTCTAAGGCTTAGGAACATTGTAAAGAGGGGGCACACTACTAATTTCTTTTCCTTTGGAGGGGTGGTGTGTTTGTGGCAGAGTCTTACTATCTAGTCCAGACTGGCCTGAAACTTAGTTCTATCTTGCTCCAGCCTCCTGAATGATAGGATTATAGGCACATGCTACCACACTAATTCAGTCTCTTGATATTGACAGCAGCTTATGATTTAGCCAAATAAGAGGTTTTAAAATAAAGGTAGGTCTTATTTAAACTTTAAGATACTGAGGCTAAGTTACTATTACTGATTGTATGTGTCTGAGAATATGTGACTATCTATCTGGAGACAGGGTCTCACTGTGTAGCCCTGGCTGTCCTGGAACTCCCTCTGTGGACAAGGCTTTCCTCAAACTCACAGAGATCCACCTGTCTCTGCCTTCCAAGTGCTGAGATTAAAGGCATGTGCTACCATACCCTGCAATTTTTTTTAAGAATTCTTTTTTTTTGGGGGGGTTGGGGAGGGTGTGAGCCAATATTTATATTTTAAAACTGGACTTGTCAATTTGTCCATTCCATAAAGTGAGGATTACTCTATCAGCTCACTTGATCCATGTGACAAGATTATTGAGGATAAAAACATGTTTTGGGGAATGAAGAGTACTAGCTGCTCTTCTAAGGAAATCTAAATTTGGTTTTCAGCATTATCAGGCAACTCAGAACTGTAATCCAGCTCCAGGGGACCAAATGCCCTCTTCTAGTCTCCATGAACATCAACTCACACAGGTATGGAACATGGGTGAGTGCACACACATAAATTAAGATTGAATTTCCTAAAATGGTAAGGATGTAGCTCCAGTGGAGTACATGCCTAGCAAACAGAAAGCTTTTGGCTACTCATCCTCCTAAGAGTCTAGCTGTTTCCTGTTCTCTGCCACTCACTCCTCAGCCTCCTTCCAGTTTAAACTTTCTGTCTCATAAACACCTCTCAGGGATTTCTGCATAATGGTTCTTTCCTGTCACAGTTTGAATGTCACTTCAGAGAGGCCAAAGCCCCATATGCTGCCCCATGGTGCCTGTTGTCCTGGAAGCACCCTGCATTTGGTACAGAAGGGCTGACTCTCAGATGCAGGAATGCTGCCCCTGCTTCCCTACAAGCTCTGGCTGAAGGTCTTGCCCCTCCCCCTACAACCTAGAGCCACTGAGGCCTAACTCTTTCCAAGGCCATCCCAGCATGCTGCTCTCAGTGGAGTGCTGGAGTTCTAGGCCCAGATCCCCACTCAAAATGGTTCTTTTCTTCCCCTTTATCAGTGCTCCATCTTGGGAGGCTGAACTTTAAGCAAATTTAATCTATCACATCCACCAAGGGCGTCACCCTATCCATTAGTACCTCCTCCTATTTTCAGCATGGTTTTTAACCTATCTTGGTTTATTGTCTGTTTCCAATCACTAGGATCTAAGTTCCAGAGGAGCAGGGGTCTCATTTGTTGAGTGCCAGATGCTCTGTAGACCCTCCACCTGGAGTTGTCAAGGGCAAAGAAGTGGTGAGGAGCCCAAGCCCCCTATTTCCCTTCTTAGGGGAAGTTTAGGGTTAAAGACAATGTTTGTACATTGGCTGGCACAAAGTTCCCTCCCCTTTTCAGGAAATAACAGGAAAGGCACAGAATGCGGAGGAAGAGGATTAAAAAAATAAAAGACTAAGACGAAAGCAAGGAGCCATGGAAGTTCCAATAAGACCTAGCAAACAAACTGTTTTGTGTCCTGCATAAGATCAAGTAAAAAGGCAAGAAGGAAGGCTTAGAATTGGGCAGTTGTGGAGAGCATGTGTCTGTGAAGAAGAAAGCCCAATGCCCTTGTCCCCCTCAGCCATGAACAGAGCTAGGGCCTCTAGTCAGCACTCACAGGAGACGTGGGTGTGGCATCTGGTCTGGACACTGGGGCTTTGAAGGTAGAAGTAGAAGCAGTCTTGGGAGCATCTGCCCTCTTGTCTGAAGTGGCTCCCATGGTCAGGCACTCCAGATAGTCAGGAGGTGGGATGATAACACTGCTCTTCTCAGTCAGATCCACAGTACTGATGCTTCTCACTGGTACAGGGCTAAAAGCCAAAGGTTAGGGAGCCAAGTCAGATAAGGTCATGCCACTTGCACCCCTGTGCCATACACATCCATGGCCAAGCCTAGGGTAACGGATAATAACTTGATGTGTCAGGGCTGGAGAGAAGGCTCAGCAGTTAAGAGCACTGGCTGCTCTTCCAGAGGACTCCAGTTTGATTCCCAGCACCCACATGGTGAATCACAACCATCTGTAACTGTAGTTCCAGGGATCCAATGCCTTCTTCTAGCCTATGAAGGCACTGTGTACAGACATACATGAAATCAACACATCCACATGGGAAAAAAGGCGAAGGAAGAGGGATTGCAACACTGCACTACATACACAGTAGTTCATATGCATGTGTGCATGTTTATATACATTTGCTGCCTCAAAAAGCAGCTCTTACCCACTACCTAAAGATAACTTTTCCTTCTTGGTACAATGGCATTTTTAGACTCTACCAGAGAGAACACATGGAGAGGCTTTATGAAGGGAGGGCCTGAGGATGCTGAGCATGGCATTTGATGGTCCAGAGGCCAGAGAGTAGGGTGCATGAGGGACCAGTTCAGTTCAGTGTGGACATGTCATTTCCCAGGGTCCATTGGGCAGCCAGCTAGAAATATGCACATTTCAGCCTGGATGAGTTATGACTGAGTTCCAGTAGTGGTGTTGTATGTCCCTGAGCAAGTTCTTAAAACTGTCCTATGCCTCAGTTTCCTCATTTTGAAGTGGCACCCCATCTCAGGGTTATGAGAATTCATTGTGTTAAAGCAGTTTAAAGCACTTCAGATTGTCCCTAAGAGATGGCTTTTTTTTTAAGCTTTAAATGTCTGTTTACCAGTTGTAAGCTACCTGACTGGGAACTAAACTTGGGTCCTCTACAACAGCAGAATGCATTCTTAAAACTCAGCCACCTCTCCATCTCCAAGAAGGCTACTTTTACTGTCACAACCTAGACTGAAGAATTGGGGACTATCAGCATGGAGGTGACAAGGGAGATCCACTGGTGTAGTTGCAAATATAAAGGTAAATGAAATATAGTTGGTTAGTTGATCAGTAGGGAAGGTGCCAAGCTTGATAACCTGAGTTTGAGCCCTGGAACCCACATGATGGAAGGAAAGAACTGACTCCTGCAGGTTGTCTTCTGACTTCTACACGTGTGCTGTGGCAACTGCTTCCAACCCCACCAAAATTAATAAGTAAAATGTAAAAATAAAAAGTCTATGAAATAGCCCAGGGAACACAGACAATGGAGGACTAAGGATGGATTCCATGGAGCATGAATGCCAATGTGGTGAACAGAAAAAGGACTCACAGAGGAGGGACATGAAGGAAAGAGCAAGCACAGACTAGGTCAAGACTTTAGGTGAGAAACATTTCACACAAGAGCTGCACAGGGTTAGGGCTGCTGATAGGAAACAGCGAATGTGTCCTGTGGACATAGCACTGTAGCTAGCCAGGGAAGCTCATGGAACACAGAAACCAGAGGAGCAGACATTGGCTCCTATCACACAAGTGTTGAAGGTTAATCCCAGCATGGCTGCACATTTAGGTTGTAACTCTAATATGTCTGAGAGCATTAGGGTCAAGGTAAGTTTTCAGTTGCTGGGAGAGCTGGGCCATATTCCCCTACCTTGGTGGAGGCACAGACACTGCTTCCTTCCTATTTTCTTCCAGCAACTTTGTATATGATGATGGGAACCAACCCCTCCTAAAGGTGAAGATAAAGAAAAAGACCCATCTGTGATACCTGAGGCAGGCTCATAAGTAGTACTTACACCTGGGGACATCCTGACGACAGCTTGGGTAGGGTAGCCTCACAAATGGGCTGAATGAAATGGAAGCTTTTATAGGTCTCTCTCTCTCTCTCTCTCTCTCTCTCTCTCTCTCTCTCCCTCCCTCCCTCTCCCTCTCCCTCCCTCTCCCTCTCTCTCCCCCCCCTCTCTCTCTTACACACACACACACACTAATAACTTGATCTGTGGAATCCACATGCTGGAAGGAGAGAACAGATTCCTGGAAATTGTTGTCCTACCTCCATATTGTATATATACACATGCATGTACACACAAAATAAATATAAAGACTGTCTTTTGTCAGCAGTGACACAATATGGTCTGATAATCTACTCTTGCATCAAGTTCACCTACATTTACACAAAATAGCTTGTGATGTAATAACAGCAGCTGCCCAAACTATAAAGAAGAATAAAGGGTTCTTACACCCATAGACAACTTGCAGTTTACAGGAAAGACAGCAGCTCTCTGAGGTGAGGGCTATTTGAACCTGGTGCAGATAGGTTTGTGCCAACTCACGCTTTGGTGGTGTCATGCTCTCCATAGAGCCAGCCGTCCTTCTCCTCGGGGATGAGCAGTGTGATGATGTCCCCCTGGGCAAAGCTAAGTAAGGTCTTGTTGTTGCCAGCAGTGTGAGGGAAGATGGTCTTCACTTTTTGCTTCTTCATCATGTTCAGTCCAGTTGCAACAGAAACTGATCTTTGTAAGCTGGGATCTTCTGAAGTGTCTGTTGAAGTGAACATGGGAATGATGATAATTCAAAGAATGCTTGGCAGGCAAGTTAGAGTGAGTAACCCCAGAAAACCATTTGTTCTGTATGTGCCCACATGGAGGAGGAAACAGGTATGCCTCAGCCTGGAGGCCTTTGCAGAAGGCAGAGGAGCCCTATAGCCAAGAGCACTTAAGACGAGAAGCCCAGAACAATGTTCCAGCTTCACCTGCACCATGGCAGCTAGGCCAACACTTTTCACTGGTGAAGTGCCCACACTTTACTGCTCTTTCAGTTTGGAACACAGAGGCAACTGTGGCAACAGCTGAGACCCGCTGCCTTTCTCTTGTGCTACAAGAAAAAGCAGTGTGTTGGAAATGCTGGCATTCTTTCTGGCTTCTCACCTGAGCATGTCCATGTGAGTTCCCAAGTTCCCTTTGGTTGAGAATTTGTCAAGAATCTCAGTGCTACATTGATGGACAAGGGAACTGAGCCCAAAAGAGTTCCAAGACTGGTCCAGATCACAACTGGCAAATGGCAGTTAATGGCTACTAGGGGCAGCTGAGTCCATAGACACCTACACTAGGGCACTATGCTACTACTGTATCTCAACTTAAACACAGGCTGATATGTGCCACTCCCCAAAACGCAAAACTGGGGATTTAAGATACCTGCTTTATTATTGCATCTTTGTAACAATACAAATTTTGCTGTTCCTTAATGTGTCTCTAATTACCTCAGCACTAAATCTTCCAGGGATTTTCACTTGGCTTTTACCTAAAAGAACCAGTTATTTGAATGAATTACATACTTTAACTTTCTTCAAAAGCAATTAACTACAAGCTATTATTTTCTCTTGCTGAGCAATCCTAGTTGTTTTTAGAGAAATCTCATCTCAATCTCTCATCTTCCCCAACAGCTGAATACTACAGTCTGTGGGTTCTCTCCAGGGCACAACTTAACTGTCATCAGATTTGTACTGAGGGAGCTATCAGATATGGAACATTGTGTGAAGCTAAATTATTATAGTCTATCCTGTTTATTTTTAAATACAATACCTCTCAGGCTGGAGAGATGGGTTGGTTGTTGGTAAGAACAAGTATCATTCTTGCAGAGAATCTGAATTAAGTCCCTAGCACCCATGGCAAGCAGTTCAAAACTGCCTCTAATTCCAGTTCCAAGGGATCCTGTCCCTCTTCTGGCCTCCATAAGCACTGTACTCATGTGCATAGACCCACACACAGACACACATGATTTAAAAAATACATCTCAACAGTATATTTACTCTGTAGACCAGTAGATAGAATTAGTGCTATAGAAACATGTCTCTTATCAAATGTCTTATGGTCTAGACTAGACCTTATTTAGTCCATTTTCCTCACTATTCCCCTCCCCACCAAATCCTGGGAGTGGAACCTAGGACTTCACACGTGTTAGAAAAATGTCCTACTATGGAGCTCTACTCTCAGCTCCAGCCTTATTTCTTTGAGGTATAAGTTAATCAGAGCCAGGGCTGTCTGTATCCACTATACTTGTGTGTCTGTCTTTCCCTCACAGTACATTTATCAAAAAAAAAAGTATTTTGCAAATTTTTTTTTTTAAATGTAAAAAGGGAGCTAGAGAGATGGCTTAGAGGTTAAATGTACTTCCTGTTCTGGCAGGGGACCTGGATTTAGTTCTCAGCATCTGTATAGAATGGCTCACAATCACCTATAGTGCCATTTCTAGGGGATCTAACAGCCTCTCCTGGCCTCCAAGAGTATTAGCACACATGTGGCATACATTCATATCACACACACATAAATAAGAACAAATATTTAAAAATTAAATAGAACAATTTAATAAGCTTCCATAAAAGAAATCAAACTGAATCTCTTACCTGCTGAGTTGTTTATCTTTTCTAAACTCTGTGCAGCTGTTGCTGGATTATTGAACATATCAATCAAAGGGCTGGTATAGGCTTTGACTGAAGGAGCTGGGGGCATCTTTGGTGGGTATTTAGAAAGGGTGTCATAATCTTTCCCAATCTGTAGAAACAAATCTTTTTTAGCCTAATATTAGAACAATACAGTGAGGGAATAATACAGATTTCTAGGATTGCTTTTTTCTTCTTCTTCTTCCCTAGGCAGGGTTTCTCTGTGTAACAGCTCTGTCTGTCCTGAAAGTAGCTCTGTAGACCAGGCTGGCCTTGAACTCACAGAGATCCTCCTGCCTCTGCCTCCTGAGTGCTGGGATTACAGGCGTGTGCCACCACTACTACCCAGTCTAGGATTGCTTTTTATCATATGGCAGAAACCCCACTTTCTTAGTTGTGAATTATTTCGAAAGTATTAATTTTAAAAAAATCATTTATTTAGAGAAAGAGTCTTACTATGTAGTCCTGGCTAGCCTGAACTCTCTGTGTAAACCAGACAGTACTCAAACTCACAGAGAGTTACTTGTCTCTGCCTCCCAAGTGCTGGAATTACAGGTGTGAACCACATCTAGAAAGGCTACCTTATAAGTGTTACTTGGCTACAGGAGCCTACATTTGAAACAATTTTTTGAAAGGATTCTGAATGTGTTGAATTAACTTGTTAATTTATGGCCAATCTTGTTATCATAAATGCCCTTACCCAGATTCCCAGATAAGGCCTGCATTATTTTGAAGCAATTCTCAGACATAACATTTCTTTTCTTCTTCTTTTGGATAAAGGTCTCACTATGTAGTCTAGGCTGGCCTCAAACTATGATTCTTCTGCTGCAGTCTTCAGGTGCTAAATGGCACTAGGGTGTTTTTTGTTTGTTTGTTTGTTTTTCTGGGGGGGTTCGAGACAGGGTTTCTCTGAGGCTTTGAAGACTGTACTGGAACTGGCACTTGTAGACCAGGCTAGTCTTGAACAGAGATCCGCCTGCCTCTGCCTCCTGAGTGCTGGGATTAAAGGCATGAGGCACCACCGCCTGGCATGGCATTAGGGTTTTTAAGTCTGCTCTCTCAGACATTCACTGGTAATAAACTTAAAATGTTGGAATACAGTAGAAATAATATTGTTAAAACATGACAGTGATACGCAGAGTATAAGACATTTGCACAGTCAATTCTAGTTCTAAATGAAGAGGTGGAAAGGTGAGGAAACAGTGCAGGAATAGGAAAGGTTGGCTCATGGTTTCTATCACCAGAGTCAGTCCTGGTTCTCTAAGTCAGGATGAACTAGCTCATTCTAGTAAACATACAAAAAGGGGACTGATTCCTACCATCTTGCTTCTCTCGATCATGGGTGAAGGCTGTGGCGTCCCAGACACTGGTGTGGAGATGGGCGTTTTTATCTCTTCTATCATGTTCATGATTTTCTCTGGTACTTTTGTGGCATCACAACAGGTTTCCTGCCACCGGGGCAGCTTGGAATTAAGTAATTCTGCAGACTATAAATCCAGAAGAAAAAAAAAATTAAAGACAAAGGTACACTGTTTGAAGAGCTGATAAAAGCTGCCTCCAATAGCACCTCTACTGATTTATTAAGATTTGCAACCAGGAGTGGGGGGCTCAAGCAATTTAAGCAACTGTGTGTGTCTTGACTGCTGAGAAGGCAGGCTCAGGACCTAATGGAACTGCTTTCTCAGCATGAATACAGAGAACTAGGACCATAAATGATTAAGAATCCTGCCGGGACTGGGAGTAGCTCAGAGGCAGAATACATGCTTAGTATGCATGAGATGTGTGTTTGCTCATGTACATCTCAAAAACAAAACAATAAAGCCATTCAAAAGCTAAAAGGGAGGAGCTGAGCAACCAATATGAGAGTCTGTCATTTTCCAGCTGGCCCTGGAAAGGACAATCATCATCTCCCCACCAGTCCTTCTCAAATCAACACCTCTATTGAGTAAAAGGTGCAGGAGTGAAAGTGTTAGGCAAATGAACCAGACTCTGTTCCAGGAAGTTCACTTGTGGAAAGAGCCTATAGGTGGAGAGGTAGGAGGTGGGTGGGAGCAGGTGGGGATGTGTATGAGCCTAGGGATGTTCCTGTCATAGTCTAATGGTCTCTGCATAGTAGTTGGGTGGCAGCAGAAAGACATACAGATGGACAGAGCTGAGATGCTGCAACTCTGGAGGTGAAGCTGAGGGGTCATTCCTGCTCCTATGAGCCTGGCTCTGCTCCTGCAGTGGGACTCTCAGAGGCTTCCAAAACTTTTCAGTGAACTCCCTTTCCGGGGCAGCACTCTGATTGGAAAATGAAGTAGGGTTCTGTCCCTGAAGCTATTTGCATGGCAACCACACTTCTTTTTTCAAACTCATACCAACCCCTTACAACCCTGACGAACTGGGGAGTACCATAATGAAGACCACTTGCACTGGCTAGGGAAGGACTAGGAGTTTGTAACTATAACAAGGGGGATCACAAAGCAGTTTTTAAATAGCTGAAGAAACTTTGATACAAAAAGAAGCAGGATTGGTCTATGCTGTTCTTCATAATACTACTAGGACCCAAGGTTAAGTCTAAGAAAGACCTTGTCCATAACTAGAGCTTTCTGCAAACAGCCCAGGTTACCTCCTGACATAGTGGGGGGGCATTGCCATAGGAAGGAAACTCAGGGTTGCTTCCATCCCTTTGCAGCTGTGACCCAGTCATTCTGTCACAGCAGGAGGCCCTCATCATGGAAGCAGCTACACTAGGGCAGACACACCAGGGACAGCAAATTTTTTTTTTATTATAACCATTTAGATCCTAAGTATTTGGATTAGGAAGTTGCGTATGCTTTATAGAATATATGACATGTGCACACATAGGGCAGGGCTTTCTCCCCTTGAGAAAGAGGTGACTCATGTTCTAGCTCTTGCAGAACTTCTCATATTTCAGAACTCTCTCTTAAATCACTTGCTTATGAACAACAATGAATGTTTGACCTCAATCATGCTAGCCTGGGATGCTTACAGAGGCCCAAGAGAATTAAAAGGAAAAAAAGGAGGAAGGGAAATTTAACATGCCATGTAATTGTTCCTGGGTTCTAACCTCACAGCTGCATCTGGAGGAAGGAACTAAGTCAGCCACTTAGTTGAGGTAATCATGAGTGAATACTGTGAACAAGAGTGAAAAGTAACAAAACTCAGTGTCTTGATGGGTGTGAATGGGGAGAGGGTCTCTGTAGCCTTGGGCAGTGCTGACAGAGGTCCTATGCAGATCTACGATCATCTAAAACCACCCAGAGACTGGGCCTAGTCAAGACAGTGACACTCAGGATGCACAGGAGCCTACCAAAAGTTGACTTTTTTAGATCATTCCTTTTTTTTTTCTTCTTCGAGACAGGGTTTCTCTGTGTAGCTTTGGAGCCTATCCTGGCACTCGCTCTAGAGACCAGGCTGGCCTCGAACCCACAGAAATCCACCTGCCTCTGCCTCCCGAGTGCTGGGATTAAAGGCATGCGCCCCCAACGCCCAGCTATTAGACCATTCCTTTTTATTGTTTTTTTTTTTTTTTGAGATATAGCCTAGGCTGGCCTCAGACTTACTATGTAACTGAGAATGACCTTGAACTTCTGATGCTCCTGGCCTCGATTCCTGGGGATTACAGGCATGCACCACTATATCCAGGTTTTATGTTGTGTGCTAGGAATCAAACCCAGTGCATGCCAGGTAAGCACTCTACCAACTGAGTTACAACTGCAGCCCCAAATGTGTCATTGTTTACAAGGGACTTTATTTATTTATTTATTTTATTTATTTATTTATTTATTTATTCAAGACACAGTTTCTCTGTATTGCTTTAGAGGCTGTCCTGGAACTTGCTCTGTAGACCAGGCTGGCCTCGAAGTCACAGAGATCTGCCTGCCTCATCCTCCTGAGTGCTGGGATTAAAGGTGTGAGCCACCAACGTCTGGCTACAAGGGACTTTAAATATGGATAAACTATGAAATTAATGATAAGTGGGTATTTGATTGTTTATTCTATCTGTATTTCTGTAAAGGCCCATTGCCTTCTGAGTATAAGATAAAGCTACTGCCACAATTAGTGCAATCTGCTGCACACTCACCTGAAGGTGATAGTAGTGTATGTGATTGGCAAAGCTACAGTGCTTGTCCACCAGAAAGCAGAAGCGCCTTTTTTCCTCAAGCAGGGCTTCTTTGCAGCCATCTGCAATGAACTTCTGGATTTCACTCTGGCGAGAAGTAACAGTCTCCACATACTATGAAAATAAACAATAGAAGCATGACAGTAGGCATCTGATTGCTGCATGGCATGCCGTTTATCGCCTGCCATCTTTATACCCAGTTTACTTTGATTATGGAGTAAACACTAAATGCAGATAAATACTAGACAAGACACTTGTAACCTGGCCTGACCAGGTATCGTCATCACTAAGACACTGATTCATATGTAGAGAGAGGCTACCAAAGGCTTTACATTCCCCACTAAGCAGCTGGCATCAAACAACTCTGTACTTTAGGAATGACTCTCTTCTACTGAAAAATAATCTGTAACTACAAAGTTACAGGTTTGATCACAGTTCCAGGTACCAACCATAGGACTTAACCAAGACTCATTTTCCCATGATAAAATGAGGACAGTCAGGTCAAGCATGGTGCTGCACACCCTTAATACTGGCACTTGAGAGGCAGAAGCAGGCAGATCTCTATGAGTTCTAGGCCAGTCTAATTTACACAGAGAGTTTCAGGCCAGCCAAGCCACACAGTGAGAACCCACCTCAAACAAACAGGAGGGATAGTCATGCTAATCACAAAGGTGCCCTTCTTGAGTTAAGGGAAGATGCCAGCAAGTACCATGTGCTATTACCTTAACTTTGGAAAACCCTGAAATACTAAGTCAGATTACACATGCTTTGTTTTTCTTTTCTTTACACAGGGTCTCACTATGTAGCACAGGCTAGCCTAGAACTTGAGAGCTGGGATTTCTGGCATGTGCCATCACACTCAGCTTGTAATACTTATATTTCACCTCAGCAGTAGGCAAGAAGGGAGTGATATGGTATAGCTGATTGAAGTAAGCCTCCCCTAAAACTGTACATACATATAATGATTGACAAAGAAAAATATCGCTGAAGAGCTCACCTCAATTTCTTTGTGCTCATATTTGAGTGCATTTCGGCCTCCTTGACTTTTTCTTCTGATCTTCTTCAACTCCGCCTGAGATTTCTCCAAAGAATCTAATTTATTCCTGTGTTCTGCTTGGTATCTTTTTAGAGTGGCCTGTAAGTTAAATGTTGTTTTACTGTGGCACCATACAAGCTGCCATGTAGTCACTTTTGCTCACACTTCCACTGTGTGTAGCTGCCTGGCCTTGACATCCTCACACTCATGTGGCTCCATTGTGGCTGGGGCTTAAGAATGTCAGTCCATACTGTTCTCACATCCACACTCCAGAGGATACCCTCCATTCAGATTGAATTCCTAGGTGTTGTTAGTTCAAATGTTTATGTTTATGAGCAGCTCTCTAAAGATAAAAATGTCTTTTCTTTTTAATTCCTCTTTTTTCAAAGGTTTTTTTAGACGCTGGGTAGTTAGTGCTTTGGTGAATACACAAACAATATGAAAGAACTGGGGATGTAACTCAGTGGTAGAGGCTTACCACTGAGCCTCTTACCACTGAGGTTGGTAGCATATGTAAGGCCCTGGGTTCCATCCCCAGCATCCATCAGTCTCTCTCTCTCTCTCTCTCTCTCTCTCTCTCTCTCTCTCTCCCTCCCTCTTTTCTGGCTGTTATACAATGAACAAGTGCAACTGCTCTGAGTGTTTGGGGTGCTGTATAGCACAGTGTTTAAGAGACTAGATTACAGTTACAGCTTCTTTTCTCATTACCTGTGTGAGCTCAATACTTAATTTATATAAAACCCTTGTTTATTATCACATCTGTAAAATGATCCTAAGAATACTATATAGGTGTTCTGGTAGGGATAAAAATTAAAAAATGAGCTGGGCATGTTGGTGCTATCACACCTGTAACCTCTGCCAGGTGCTGCTTAGTGAAGGCACCAGCTGTAGAAAACAGACACAGACATCCTGTCACACCAGCATGTTCTCTGAAATCACTGTCCTCTACAAGTACTGATTTCCTGCATTAGTTTTTCCTGTGTGTTTTTGTTATTGCTTTTTTAAATTTTATTTTATGTTTTGGCTGTATGTATATCTGTGCACTATGTGTGTAAAGCCAGAAGAGAGCATTGGATCCCCTGGAAACTGGAGTTACAGATGTTGTGACCTGCCATGTGGTTGCTGGGAATTGAACCTAGGTCCTCTGGAGGAGCAGCCAGAGCTCATTACTGTTGAGCCACCACTCTAGCCCAGGGTAGTGTCAACATCATCATCCTTCTGTCTCAAGTGTTTGGAATATGGGTATGTACTACCACACTCAGTGTGTCTCTATTTTTTGTAACACACATACCAAGTGGCAGCAAAAATGAGCCCACTTAACCCAAAGGGAATTTGTTAGTTTTATATATTCCAGTTTGTGTCAATACCAAACTCCACTCCCACTTTGAGCAGTAGACAAAACTCTGTGTGTGTGTGTGTGCCGTTGGGAGGTGGAAGCATGAGAATAAAGAGCTTGAGGTCATCATCAGCTACCAGTATAAGTCTACTCTGGGCCCCTTGAGACCCTGTGAAGGGCAGTGAGGGGGAGGAAGAGAGTGGTTGGAGAGTTGGCTCAGTGCTTAAGAACATTTTCTGCTTTTGCAGAGAACCAGAATTTGGTTCCCAGCATCCATGTCAGTTGGCCTACAACTTTAACTCCAACTCTAACCTGTATGTATGTGCACTTACACACACACACACACTCACTTTTTTTTTTTTTTTAGTTTTTTTCGAGACAGGGTTTCTCTGTTAGTTTGGAGGCTGTTCTGGAACTCGCTCTAGGCTGGCCTCGAACTCACAGAGATCCGCCTGCTTCTGCCTCCCGAGTGCTGGGATTAAAGGCATGCGCCACCAACACCTGGCCTTTTTTTTTTTTTTTTTTTAATTTTTTAAAGAGAATGTAAAAGGTGCAACTTGAAGTCTACCTCAGCAGGTGTGTGTAACCCCATGGCTTGTGCATGCATAGCTACAAACCTTGTAAAGGTCTCTGGAGAGGATGATTTGGAAGGGTAATATGGGGAGACCATACTAAAACGGGCAGCGGGGGTCTACTTTGGGTGACGAAAGTAAACATCCTATAGCAGAGAGCTCAGTTGTTGGCCAAGGTAGATGAAAACTGCACTCACATTCATATACTTTACGTCAAGTTCTGTCTTCTTCTCCAGTTCATGGATAATCTCCTTATGGAATTTTTTGAACTGTTGACAAAATGAAAATTAAAAAAAAATCACATCATATTTGAGTTTTAGGCAAAATTTTTAAAAATAATTTTTTAAAATATAACAACTGTCCACGTACATTTTCATCGAGAGTTTCATTGAGTTTCTTATGGGTGATGGAAATCTCTATGAGGACACGGCCTGTGAACAAAACCAGACACATAAGGGGAAACCACTGCGTGGTTTTGCAAAGACATAAATAGAAACAAAATAGAAGCAGCAAATGGTACAAGGTTGCTTTCAGGGGCTCCAAATATTAAACCCCAAGACAAGTTGAGAGTTCGATGGCTCCCCAGGGAAGGTTTAGAGGGAACACCTGTGAACTAACTTCCTCCTAGTTAAGAAACAACACTTACTATGTTCTTGTAAAAACACTTACTCTGTTCTTGGATTCATGCAGGTCTATTTTACTTACTCCCTCAGCTAAATCCTATATATCTGATTTAACTTTTTAAAACAAATTTGATTTTGTTTCTATGTTTGTGTAAATGTGTGCTCTGTGTGTGTCTGTGGAGGCCAGAAGAGAATGTCAGATCTGGAATTACAGGTGGTCATAAGCTGCCTGACACCTGGGGCTAAGACTCCAACTCATGTTCTGTGAAAAGGACAGCGCTGGTATTCAACTCTTACCATGGAGCCGTCTCTCCAGCCCTATGATTTAACTTTGAATTCTCTTACAAAAGATTACCTCAGTCAACACAGTAACTATTTATAGGAACAGAGAGTTTATTTTTATCTAATCCCCAGAGTAATCTGATTATCTGCTAATCACAGAGAAAAATTATCTTCTTTTTTCTCATTTTAGTTCCTGTATTTGTTCTGGAAAATAGTAGCACTGTAGCAGCCACAGTGTTCCACCTTGGATCTCCTGGGAAGACACAGAGTCTCTGCAACATAGAATGTTCCAGGGCAAACGAACCTCCTTCCAGAAACCAGCAGGGTGACGCCTTGGTTTGCAAAGGCAGCTGTCTTACAGCTGGGGGCATGTGCTAAAGCTCTGACACTAACCTCTCTGACAACCCACCTGCCTCAGAAACCACACAGGTCTGATGAGTACAAGTAGGAAAACAGAGGAACTCATTGGAATGACTGCCACTGCCATATGAAACCACCACAAAATGTACTGGTGGATTGCTCTATAGTCAGTAGATAGATCAAAGGAATTTTTATGGCAAGCTACACAGCTGTGGATGAGAAAGGAAGACACGGCAAGACACTGGTAGAATAAGGGAAAAGAGAAAATGAGCATAGAGCCCACATGGCCTCAGCTGTCACTAGTGTATAAGTGACTCAACCACGCTTTCAGGAACATTTGCAGGCAGCTGCTTCTCAGATTTGCCAGGCTGGCCCTCCTCCTTCCATCTCAGAAATCATCTCCTCCCAGACGTGTTCCATGTGTAAGTGTGAGCTCAACAGCACTGTGCCTCCTAATCCACCTAATCCCCATCAGCTAGTCATGGTGGGAGACCTCTCATCTATGTGTCATGCCCATGATGAAGAGTCACTTACTGTGTACTGATGCCGTCAACTGGGCCACCTCCAGGGAAGACCATGAATGAGCCTCACTCACACTACTGGGCCACTGTGCTTGTCCTACCCCGAGAAGACACACTGGACAACTTTACATGGTGCCAGGGGTCTGCCTAAAAGCAAAGAAGGCAGCCTCTCTGCTTGCCCCAGTGTTCCAGATAAACAGACTCGTGAGCTACAAGCTCAAAGCCTCTATGGACAAGTGCTGTCTAAACTTTGGGTATGGTGGGCCACAAAGAACCGCCTATAGAAACATAACCTCGGTCTTTCACAAGAGAAGCCTACAACCTTGCCAAGAATATAGCTACATTACTATGTCATTTCAGATTCTGAAACATTCAGAGCCACTTTTATATCTATTTTGAACCATAAACAATTCCTTGTTGAAAATTAAAAAAAAACAAATAAGGTCCATTTTAATTATCTGAAAACTAAGCACTCAGTTCTTGGCAAGTCGAATCTTCTTAAGGAAAAAAAAATCTAAAAATATTTTGGCTGAAACCATCAGAAGAATTCTGTTGGAAAGCAAAATGGTCACATTTCTTTCTGACATGACCCTTCTTGAACTGTGTTTCCGCAGTCCCACTCAAATGTGGACTTCAGAGCAACATGCTGTGTGTTAAGCACAGCTCTGAACTCATTGCTCTGCTTTGCTGGCCCAGCCCACTGCACATGGGTTCCCACTGTCCATATTCCTGTGTGGTTTCTGCCACTGCCAACAAGTTCAGTGAAATGGGCCATTCACAGTGGTAGGATGGAAACCCCTGCCCTTGTTATTCTTGTCCCTCATGGTCTGTGGAATACCAAAGCTGGTCTCCCAGTGGTAACCCCGGAGTCCTTGGTTTTCAGGATTGACTGAAACACACCTTAGCAGTGATTGTGCAAGCTGCCAAATCATACCTTGAAACAGAACACGAAACTGCCTTTAGGTTCAGTCCACAGATGTTTACTCTCCAGTTGAGCAAGAATTACTTCAGGTTTGAAAATGTTCTGTTTCTGTGTTATTTTACTCTTCATTCTCTAGCCTACTTTTTCATGAATTATATTTGGGAAGGAAAAAGACACAGAGAACATTTGAGGGAGGAGCTGAGAAAGCACAACCCAGATTCAAACAGAGCAGAACAGAGTGCATGCCCTGACAGGAAGCTGTGGGCTGCATACTGCACCAATCCTTCCCTTCTTCTTTTCAGGTTTGGAGCCAATATCTCAGGAAGAGATTCATATCATTACAGCCATGTGACTCAATCTGAATACATTAGATTTCTTAAGGGGGCAATAGCAAGGGATTTATTATTAAAATTAAACATTTTTGCAGCACTGGGGATGGAATTGGAGCCATGCTGGGCAAGTGGTATACCACTGAGCCACAGTGCTGGCTGAAAGGTAAAATATGCACACATTTCAAATTCATAAACTCAACTTAGACAATGCTCATAGCAATAGTGGCAAATAACAGTATTACTCTCGGTTTTAGGAGCCACGAAGAAATGTAGACAATACTTTGAACAATGCTATGTAAGGCTATGCATGAGGCCAGTAGGCGGAGTGACCCTAAAATGTTAAATGACAAAACTTAAAGAATGTTACTGATATGAGATACTTTTTGTTTGAAATACTTTTGATTTTTTTTTTTTTCTGGGTTGGTACTGCAGATGGAACCCACAGCCTGGCTTGTATGGCAACTCTTCTACTAAGCTATGTCCTCAGCTCCCATTGGGAAGTTAGTTAATTGTTTCTTTGACACAGGGAGGGTCTTGTTATATTTGTATAGCCCAGGCTGTCCTCAAATTTACAATCCTCCTACCTCTACCTTCCAAGGGCTGGGATTACAGACATGTACCACCACACCCAGCTGGTCTATCAATATGTTTCAGTGAGAGTAAGTCTTTACCAGTTCACAGTAAGAATGTGGAGGAGCCAGATAGAGCCTGCCAAGGACAGAAGCATCAAAGACCACATGCTGAATTCACACACACACACACACACACACACACACACACACACACACAAAAGAAAGAAAGAAAAAGAAAGAAAGGAAGGAAGGAAGGAAGGAAGGAAGGAAGGAAGGAAGGAAGGAAGGAAGAAGAAAGAAAGAAAGAAAGAAAGAAAGCCAAACCCAATTCTTTCCATTTATATCTGGTCACAGATAATTACAACATATTTGTTATTTCCAGAGAGTACAGAGTAATGGCTGAGTCACATGCCACTTCCTACATGTTACTACAAGTGGAATCAGACAATAAAATGATGGTGTGGAAGCCAACCTTCTACTGCCTAAAATCACACTTTGCAGACTGAAGTGAAAATGACAAAAAATGTCACCAGGAAATGGATAGTTTTTTTTTTTTTTCTTTTTTTCTTTTTTCTGAGACAGGGTTTTCCTGTGTAGCTTTGGAGCCTACGCTGGCACTCGCTTTGCAGACCAGGCTAGCCTCTAACTCAGAGACATCCGTCTGCCTCTGCCTCTGCCTCTGCCTCCTGAGTGCTGGGACTAAAGTTGTGTACCACCAATGCCTGGCCTGGAAATGGATAGTTTTTCTGACATTTTTACAGATAGCAAATGTGATGAGGAGAAACTACAATGAGGGCTAAAAGGAAGGCTTAGAAGGTAAAGGTGCTTGCTGCTAAGCCTGACAACTGAATTCAATCTCTGGGACTTAGTCAGTAGAAGGAAAGAAGCAACTCCTGTAAGTTCTCTTCTGACTTTCACACACAAAATAAATAAAACACAATAAAAAATTCAACAGTACAACAAAGGTAAAAGCAAAGCACACAGATCTTATGCTGAGTAGACAGGTCTGTGTGTTGGAGATCCAAGTCACCCACCCTTAACCACAAATACACAAGCACACTTAAGATGCTCTACTGCCTCTTAGAAGGGCTCTCAGTCCCTGGTAGGCAAGTGACTCTTCTCTCATCAGGACTGTTATACAAATAGCAACATGTATCTGTGCATGGTGGTGCATGCCTTTAATCCCAGCACACAGAAGGCAGAGGCAGGCAGATCTCTCTGAGTTTGAGGGCACCCTGGTCTACAAAGTGAGTTCCAGAACAGCCAGTGACGCACGGAGAAACCCTGTCTTGAAAAAAGCAACAATAACAAACCCCACAAATAGCAGCATGTGTGTGAGAGCTTAAATGGGTCTCATTCTTGGCTTAACCAATTAAAATGTTACAGTTCTAATTAATGTCTTGCAATCACCATTAATTATTCTTTCAGTGTTCCCCCAAATAAATAACAAGGAGGTATATGTCACAGGAGCCAGCTTGGTCAAATGTGGGGTATTCTAATCTGAGCATCAAAACAATGAAGGATGGTAATAAACTATATATCACTAGGAAAAAAAAAATCCAGGATCTGGGAGTCCATGGCAACAGATAATATAGGGGTCAATGGATGCTCCTGCCAAAAGTACCTATCAGTGAGGAGAGGCTGCTGGACTTTGGAAATTACCATTTTGCTGCCATCATAGTAAAGATTGGTTAGAGGAAAAACCATTAACAGATGTAAAACTCAGGATGAGAAACAAGCATAGCCTGGAGGTTTTCCTCTAATATTGCTTATTAGCAGAAATTTTTATTGTTGTTTTTCAAGATAGGGTTTCCCTGTAGCTTTAGAGCCCATCCTGGAACTCACTTTATAGACCAGGCTGGCCTTGAACTCACAGAGATACGCCTGCCTCTGCCTCCCGAGTGCTGGGATTAAAGGCATGAGCCATCACTGCCTGGCAGAAATATTTTTTTTTTTAAATCCAATGAACTAGAAATCAGACAATACTTTTATATGAAAAATGAGAGGAAAATGACCAGTGTGCTCACATTTGATACTCACACAAAATGAATTGTATTGTATTCTAGCAAGAACAAAGATCTGGCCTCTCAAGGTCCTGACTACCCTCAACCTCCGTTTAGCATTTATAACAGGCTTACACTACCATACTTTAACTGAATGAAACTCATTTACCTATTTAGATTTTAAAACTACATTAATTTGCCGGGCAGTGGTGGCGCACGCCTTTAATCTCAGCACTCGGGAGGCAGAGGCAGGGGGGTCTCTCTTAGTTCGAGACCAGCCTGGTCTACAAGAGCTAGTTCCAGGACAGCCTCCAAAGCCACAGAGAAACCCTGTCTCGAAAAACAACAACAACAACAACAAAACCAAAACCAAAACCAAAAAACTACATTAATTTATTTGGTGTGTGTACACCTGTGTGGAGGTCAGAAGACAACTTGGAGTTCGTTCTCTCCTTTTACTGTGTGGGCTTTGGGGATGGAACTTAGCAGTATAGGGGCACTGGGCCATCTCACCAGCCTCTCATTTATCTATTTAGTTTTGGAGGAGGAAAGGGAAGAGGAGGAGGAAGATGAAGATGATGATGAAGAGGATTATTCATTCCAGTTCTGGGGAATCCAGTGCTTGTTACTGGAGATAATAGTAAGCTGAAGAGGTATGTTGGTAGGTGAATTGATATCAATGTTGTATTTAAAATAAGATCTCTGGCTGCCTACTTCTTAAAAAGTGTTCAGCACAGTCAGAGACCTGAAAGGGAATATTCCTTTGAACCAAATAGACTTGCAGCCACAGGCTGGAGACATGGCTTAGGGGTTAATGGCCTGTATTGCTCTTGCAGAGGACATGTTTTTGTTTAGCAGCTCACAACCTCCTTGGGGATCTGATGACTCTGACCTCTGTGGGTACCTAGACACACATGTTCACACACACACCCAACACATACACATAATTAAAGATAATTTAAAAATTCCTTTTAAAAGGCTGTAGTCAGAGTGGGGAGTGGTGGCACACAACCATAACCCCAGAATTCTGGAGGGTGAGACAGGAGGATTTTTGAGTTTGGTGCAAATCTGGGTTATAGAAATGGGATCCTGTTTCAAAAAACTAAATAAAATAAAAACAACTTATAAATGTAGACATCTGTCTTCTTTTTGGAGATGTCCCTTTCAGACACAGTACAAATAAAAATTATCTGGGTTTTAGTGGTGCATGCCTTTAATCCCAGCACTTGGAAGGCAGAGACAGGCTGATCTCTGTGAGTTCAAGGCCAGCCTGGTCTACATGAGTTTCAAGACAGCAAAGGCTATAGAGAGAGACCCTGTCTCACACAACAGCAGCAAAACAAAACAAAACAAAACCCAACAAATAAGCAACAACAACAAAAAACACCAAAACAGAACAAAAGAACTTGATTTTTATGTGGAAGTTTAGAATAAACTGTCCAAAGGGACTTGGTTTGGCACCTTAGACTGTCAGAAGCTACTGTTGATCTCTCAGTCACAGAGCACAAGACTGTAAGGAAGAAGGTAGGGGCTAGAGAAGAGCAGGTATTGTGACTTATCGTTCCCCACAGAGCTCAAGGGGCAGGGAGCCTCTGCCATGGTCAAAGCATTTGCAGAAAGATGTGATGGTGCCAACCAGGCTTCTCAGCACTAGTGCACATCTAGAACATTACCTAGTATAATTCAAGAGCCACCCCCCCCCAAAAAAAAAAAATCCTTCCCAGTTAACCAATGTTTGCTCTCTGTAAAGACCGGAAAAATTCCCCTCAAGCTTCTTCCAGCACAGATAGGCAACATTGTGAAATAAACCCAGAGCCCTGTTCAAGAGACTGGCCTTTAAGTGCAAGCTGTTGCAATGAAGCCTTATCTTACCTGGGAAGAGCAACTAGTTATCTTGGCCCCCTCAAGCTTTCTCACTAAGAGGAAAGAAAGGCTAAGAAGCTCTTCCAAAGGTCACATTCCAGGTTGTCTAAAACTTTCACCAAACAACTCAAGATTCCCACTGAAGATAAAGGGATGAAGCTTTCCGTTCCCAAGACTTTATCACACCAGTCATCAACTGGGCCCCAGGAAAGAACCCTGGGTCCAACTGGAGAGCAAGGCACAGACTCCACTAAGAATGACAACAGGAGGAAAAATAAAACCTCTGATACAGTTACAGCTACACCCAACATTAAATATATCCCAACTCCTAGCCAGATTAAAAACAAACAAAAAACCCATTCCAAAGGCCTATCTTCCACTGTTATATTACTTGGTATATTATATTCTCCAAACCTGAAGACAGATATCAACTCACAGATCCAGAAGGCTCAGAGAACACAGAAGAGACACTGAAATACTAACACCTCAGTGTATCAACACAAACTGCAAAATACCAAAGATCAACACAGATTCTTGGAAGAAGCCAGAGGGTGGGAAATGCCAAAGCTGGAGAGCAACAAGCTTTACATCAGACTCCCCTCATAAAGCACTTACTTGCACCTACGGAGGTGCAAGTAGGGAATCTCAGCACTCAGAGGTAGAGGTAAGAGGACTGCAAATTCTAGGCCAGCTTGGTCTATACAGTATGAAAAAAAGCAGACAGCATGGTGGCACATAACCCTAACCCTGTAATCCCAGTCCTCAAAATGCTTGAAGTAGGACTGCCATAAACTCAAGGCTAGCTGGGCTATTTAGTGAATGACAGGCCAGCTAGGGCTTCATAAACTGCAAAATACCAAAGATAGTAAAATATCTACAAACTTCATGATTCACCACCTAAAATTCATTTATCTAGTAAAATTATTCTCTAAATACA